GTTGATCAATTGTGAATAGAAATTGATCACTTGGACTAGTGAGATGGAATTTGTACATGCCACCTTGATGGGATTGTATTGGGATGCCCTGACATGATTCTAACTCTACCATTTGTGGCAAGTCTGATTGAGCATGTCCCAAATTGTACATCTCCTCCTTCTCTTATTCCCACTGTTATATTTAACACAGATCACTTTTCAGTTAAAATTTAAACACCTAAGAATAATTGTGTGTTAATCACAAGTTCAACCAATAGCACTAGAACAAAACAAAGAGAAAATCCTAAAATGGATAAAGTATTACATTGTACATCAACAGTCAAGACAAGAGCTGATCAAGTCACTGTTTCTCATAGTGTCCATTTCACTTCAACAGGTTTCCCCTTTGGTGCTCAGTGAGTTGTCTCCGATCAGGAAGAACATATATTTGTCTCTTTGGGACTGGCTTAATTTACTCAGCATAATGTTTTCCAGATTCCTCCATCTTGTTGCAAATGACCGGAATTTTCGTTGTTTTTGACTGCTGTGTAGTATTATAGAGTACATGTCCCATAATTTCTTTATCCGATCTACTGTTGATGGGCATTTGGGTTGGTTCCAGGTCTTAGCTATTGTGAATTGAGCTGCAATAAACATTAATGTGCAGACAGCTTTTTTGTTTGCCAATTTAATTTCCTTTGGGTAAATTCCAAGGAGTGGTATGGCTGGGTTGTATGGCAGGGTTATATTCAGGTTTCTGAGGGATAAAATGTTTTCTTACTGATTTCCTGTCTGGTTGATCTGTTCATTGCTGTAAGTGGGGTATTGAAACCCCCTTTGCTTTTGTATTTGAGTCCATGTCTCCATTTTGATCACTTAACATTTCTTTACATAGCCAGGTGCCCTATATTTAAGTGCATATACGTTTATAATAGTTAGATCTTGTTGAATTGACCCCTTAATCATTACATAGTGTCCTTGTCTCTTTTAACAGTTTTTGTGCTGAAGTCTCTTTTGTTTCATAGTAGGATGGCTACACCAACTCTTTTTTGGTTTCTGTTAGCATGGAATATCTTTTTCCATCCTCTCTTTCAGTCTGCTTCCGTATTTGTTAGTGAGATGTCTTTCTTGTAGCCAGTAAATAGATGTGTTTTTTTTTTTTTATCCATTCAAACCATCTGTGTCTTTAACTAGAGCTGTTGAGGTCATTTACATTTAAGCTTTCTTTGGATAAGTAACAACTTTGCCCTGCCTTTTTTCCATAAATACTCCTACCCCCCCCCTTTTTTTTTTACTTTGGATTTCCTTTGTACTTTTACTGGGACATTTCCTTCCTTTACCTTCTTCCATAGTGATGACCATGTTTTTGTATTTCTGTTTGCAGCACATTCTTAAGTATCTTCTTCAGGGCTGGACAGCTGGTGACAAATTCTTTTAGCTTCTGTCTGCCATGGAAGGGCTTTATTTCACCTTTTCATAAATGAGAGCTTTGCAGGGTATAGTATTCTGTGTTGACAGTCTTTTAAGGCTTGGAATGTATGTTGTCATTCTCTCCTAGACTATAGGGTTTCAGATGAGAAGGTCTGCTGTGATTCAAATTGGAGATCCTCTGAAAATAATCTGGCATTTATCTCATGCACATTTCAAAATCTTTTTTTTTAAATTTTTTACTATGGAGAATTTGATTGCAATGTGTCATGGTGGAGATCTTTTCTGGTCATGGCTACTAGGAGTTCTATGTCCTTCCTGTACTTGGATATCCTTTTCTTTTTCCAAATTTGGAAATTTTTCTTGTTTTTTTGTTATTATTTATTTTTGTTATTATTTCACTACACAGGCTTCCTAATCCTTTCTTTTTCCATGCCTTCAGGAACTCCTAGAACCCATATTTTGGGTCATTTGTTAATATCCTGTAACCAACAATGTTTTCTAATTTCTTCTTTTTTTGTTTGGTTGACTGTGTAATTTCCTGTGCTTTGTCTCCTTAATAAGATATTCTTTCTGCTGCCTCACCAATTCTGTTTTTAATTTTTTGCACCGTATTTCATTTGTTCTATTGAAATCATTACCAAGATTTCATTTTAAGATCTAATTTTGTGGGAGTTTTCTTTCATGTCATGTACAGATGATTTCATTAATTGAGGCATTTGCTTCAGATTACTTCTAAGTATGCCTATGTTTTGAATTCCTTTTCTGGCTTTTCTTCCATCTCATAATGTTCACAATGTAGTATTGAAGTGTTGTGTTGTTTTGGGTTTGTCATGTGGTCTTCCTTATTCCTTATTTCTTGAATTGGGGCTTTTGTTTTTCAACATTTTGTGGAGATACTCCTTGGTTTCTTTGTTTTGTCTCTGTTGCCACACTTATCTTTGGACTATGTCTGAGTGGATTAGTGGAGTGTCTGCTTTCAGAAATAACTAGAGGTGTGTGGTGGGTGTGGCCAGAGATCTCTGTTCTGTGCTCCTTCAGTGCTCCACATTCCTGCAGTAATGAATCAAACTAATAATACCCAAAAATGACTTGGCTGGATCTCAAAGGCATGTTCCTGAGTGGAAGAGACAGTTTCAAAGTGTCACCTACTTTAGATGAAATGGTGAAGTTTTGGAAATGGGGAGCACATCACTAGTTGCTAGGTTAGGAGGAGATCGAGGAAGGGGGAAGGTATAGTTTGATGAGTTTTAAAGAGGTCATAGTAGAAGATTTCATGGGGACAAAATAGTTCATTATGTTGATGTGCACATGAATCTTCAGGTGTTATACAATCACACAGATACACACACACTAATCAGACATGACTCATGGCAGAAGATGCTGGCCTTTGAACTACATATTTTAAGGTAAAAATTTTTCTGACTAAACAAAAATATAGAGTCTATAGGAGTTGGACAAAATAAGCAAGTATGAAAGAACGACTAACCTGACAACTCAAGCTCCCAAGTGGCCTTCTGGTCATAAATTTAGGGCCTGAATTAGAACCGTATCTGTCAGCATCTGAGGCAGTATTATCCTTGAGACTCGGAGAGACACGCCCCTTTCCAATGGAGGCCTTTATGGATTCAGTTCTTCCTCAATACTCTGATGTCTGAATGGATTGAAGCCATTTCCCATTCATGTAGACAAAGTCTCCAAAAGGTAGTGTAAAAAAAAAAAAAAAGAGAAAGAGTGCAGTCAGGGAGAAAAATTAGGGAGGAAACAGCAGGGAAAACTCTAAAGAAATTGGAGGAACACAGTGGACCTTTGTGGAGGGTGAGGACACGTACAACTTAGTACCCCAGCAGCCAAGAGCCTCTGCACCAGCACTGGAGTGCAAGGTGAGACCAGAATTCATGGCAAAAAAGCTGCAGGGAGAGCCTAGAGGAAATCTGGCTTGGAGCCCCATGGGGGGATAATGTATCCACCCAACTAGAGGAGAAAAAAAAGAGGGGTCATTTTTTCTTTCTCCCTGATCATCCTGTAAAGGCACCTTGTAACAAGCTAACAGAGATTAGTCACCGTTTTGGACATGCGTAATGGCTGCCCAGCTCATGTCCATGCCCAGAAAAGATCCCAATGGAGACTCCTGAGTCTGGTGGGGAGAACAGACGGGAGGCTGGGAGTTCATGATTATGGGGTGCTTATGTGCTGGGACTGTGAAAACACTGAGGCTGTGTGGGAGGACTCAGTGTGTAGCTGGGACATTGGGCAGTCACTGTGAGAGGCGCCACACTATCAGGGCTCCCTGGTTACCTGGCAAGGGACATTGATGGGGGATCTGAGCTTACACTGAGGACTGCAATGAACTCTTTGTGTTGTCCTTGTGGACAAGCAGACAGATAATATAGTCTCTGGGTCTAGCGCCCAGGAACTGGTCTCCTTCAAGAAGAGGAGCTAACCTGATAATATGTCAAAAGACAATACTCTTTTTTGTTAAAAAAAAAAAGAGATTTACCACAACAAATGTGTGTGTCACCTCAGACACACACACTCACACCCACACCCATACCCACACCCACACCCACACACACGTTGTGGAATGACTATATTGAGCTAATGAACAGGTGCATTTACTCATAAATCCATCATTGTTTATGTGATAAGAACATTAAAAATCCACTTTCTTAGCAATTTTCAAGGATAAAAGGGAGTAGGCCTTCAATATCTGTGGACTCCACATCTGAAGATTCAACCAACCACCAACAGAAACCATTCAGGGGAAAACTGCATCTGTTGTGAATATTTGCAAGCTTCTCTGTTGTTATTATTCTGAAATAATATAGTATAACAGCATTTTCATGGATTTTACATTGTGTCAGCAAAATCATTGATATAGAGATGAGGTAAAGTTTACAGAACATTGCCTAGAAACTGTGTGGAAAATAATGCCATTTTTTTTCTGTAAGGATGCTGAAAACTGGAGGATTTTGATATCCACAGGGGGTCGTGGAAGAAAGATATCCCATACAATGATTATCTGTTGTCTTGATGTACAGGAGATATCTTGAAGTTGTTAGTCCTAGCTAACTGGTGCTTATTATCCACAAACCAACATCTCTCCAGCCATTATTTTAACACGTTTGTTTGCCAATAGGGGGTAGAAGGTAATATTTGCTATATGTAGAGGGCAGGTTTCATTAAATGTAGCATAATAAAATATTCATCCACCACTTATTCTCTGTGGTGAGGCATTGGAAAAGTACTCAGCAATTTTGCAGTGCAGGGTGTATTCTTATGAACTTTAATCAGTGTGGTCTGTAATGAACCTCAAAAATCTTATTCCCCCTAACTGCAACTTTGTACCCTTTGATTAACATCTCCCCATTCAGCCTCTGGCAACCCCCAATCTCCAACCTCCTCCCACCTATTTATCTGTTGTCTTTTCTCCCACAGAGCATTGGCAGCTGATTGGACCAGACAGTCCTATCCTGGCCTTGAGTGGGGAGGACGCAGAGTTCCCCTGCTTCCTGTCCCCTGAAGTCAGTGCGGAGTCCATGGAAGTGCAGTTCTACAGGAAAGAGCTCTCTTCTGAGATCGTCCTCTATAGTCATGGGGAAGACCTACCACCAATGCAGACACCAGAGTATCAAAAGAGGACTGAGTTCCTGAAGGGTTCCATTGCACAGGGGAAAGTCTCCTTGAGGCTGAAGAATGTCACTGCCTTGGACGCTGGTGTGTATGGGTGCCGGTTCAGCAAAGGCATTAATGAACAGAAGACCACCTGGGAGCTTCGGGTGTCAGGTCAGTTTTCTTTCTTTCCTAATTTGCTTGTTTCATATAATTACTCTGGACTATTTAGGCAGTTATTAAATGAGGAGACTTTATAGTGCTTTGCAGTTCCAAGGCAGGATCTTATGCCATCAGTTATTACTGTCTTGTGTGTTTCTGTGTTGAATGACACTGTAGATTCATGTAAACTCCCACATATCAACATATTGAACTATCTCATCCCCACAAAGATCTTCCTCTGCTGCTGATTTCAGCGCACATCTAAACTCCTCTGTCCCCAACCTTCCTCCAACCCTAGCAAACAGCAAGCTTGTCTCCATTTTCATGACTTTGTCACTTCATACAGTGGAGAATAAGTGGAAACCTACTCTACTATATCCTTCACTCTTTGTTCCTTACTTACATTTTTAGTTTACCAGCCACAATTTTTCTCTATATTGACCTTCCCTGGCCTCCAGTGAATACCTGAGATCTCAAGTTAGGATGTTGAAATGAGAGATATTTCTATTTGCTTCTTGTTGAATTCAGTATTTATTGGTGGTTTAAGCTTGTGATTATAAAGAAGATTGAATGTATGCTTTTTTCAAGAGTATGCAAGGGTCTTTCATAGTTTTTTTGCTTCAGCAAATTATATCTTAAATACCATATATATATGCTTAGGGTAGGGCATTTCAGCAGCACAGGGCATGCTGTGAAGAGAATTTATCAATATCTATCTATAGAATTATAATAAAAATAGAAGAATAGAGTTTATTCTCTTTTTATGGGTTTTTATACAATATTTTCTCTTATTTATTTATGAAGATTTTTCTATTGTATTGACATACCATGAGATAAGCATATAGTTTCTTTACATTTTTTGTGTATTAAAAATATACTGGCCGATATACCTATCGGGCACATTATGCTACATAATGCTACCGTTAATACAAATAAAGCTAATTTTGTCCTTGCTCCAGTCCCATCCCATTCCTCTTATTGGAAAGAGTCCCTGGAAGTTCACATCCTATATTTGGCACCTTTGACTCACAGGTCCACGGTACTTCCCTTACGTCAGGAACCTTATAGGCTGGAGGGACTTCAACTAAGCCCAACATTTGAGAGTGCACTACTGGTAATATCACTAGCATTATTAAGGGTATGAATTTTACTTTTATAAGAGGCCGCGATTTTTCCTTACCTGTGTATACCTTACCTGGCTCCCATTCAGTTAGTTTCTCTTTTATTTCCTGCAATTCTCCTGCCTTTTGTTCTTGTTGTTCCTTTTGGAGTCCCTCAAACAGGTTCTTCATGGAGGGCTCTCATGTTCCTTCCTGTATCATCTTTTCTATGAGTTTTTGATACAATTCTTTTGCTTCTTCTCCACTAATTGGTAATACTTGCGCCATCGATACTCGATCTCTTTCTGCTTTTGTCTGGAATAAGATATCCCTAACTTCTTTTGTAGAAAGCATAATTGGCAATGATAGCAGCATTCAGAGCACATGCAGGGATTATTTTGGCAAGGTAATCATAGCTGATAATTCATGTATGCTGTAGGAAGGTTAATTTTCAGGGTTTGGGATTAGCCTAACATGTCTTTGTGGTAAACTAATTATCCTTTTCTCAGGGGTTTCTACAACTACCACTTCTTCCCCTTTCCATAAGATAATTGTAGGCCTCTTCCAATCTTTGCTGTTGGGGAGTCTAGCAAAACAAGATACTTTTTGTTTTTTAAATTATTGGATTTGTAATTTCTGGCCTAGTTCCTGCCATCTTTGATGAATATACCTTTCTATAGGGGTGTATCCCCCTATTCCTCCCCTTTTCTTTTTGTTAAGAGCTATAAGAGCCAATTGTAAATGAGCCTCTATAGTTTGTACTTCTTCAGTAAATTTATCCATCTCCTGCTTTAATGCTTGATTTGCTCTTTCTACCATGCCCTGGGACTGTGGATTATACGGAGTACCTGTGGTGTGATCAATATTTAAATATTTACACAGCCCTTCTACTTTTTCTGCTGTAAAATTAGGCCTGTTGTCTGTATGTAATCCTGTAATATGAAATAAGTGAGCTAGCTCTAATAGAGCCCATACGATTTCTTGTGCGTTTTCTTTTGGAACTATCTTAGCCCATAATAGTCCTGAGGATGTCTCAACTGCTACTATAAAGATTTTTCCTTCATCATGTGTGGCATCCATCTGCCATACACCTGGTCCTGATCTACTGAGATGTGGGATAGTTCCTCCTTTATTACTGCATTTGGGACACTTCTTAACTATTTGTTCTGCAACGTTCTTTGGAAGGTTATACTTCTGTCTTAAGTATTGAACATCCCCATGCCATTTTGTATGGTCCTCTTCTGCTGACTTGATGTTTTCAAGGAAATAAATTCCTTGGTGCTTAGATCCTACCTGTTCTGGTACCTTCTCCCGGATATTACCTCCTTGCACCACTAGGTGTATCTGCATCCTACAAGATGTGGATGCTAGCTTGTCAATGTTTTCATTCCCTGATATACCTTTGTGCCCTGGTACCACTGTATATAAAGCTCCTCTTTGTTTTCTATAGATTCTAGTATAGTCTTCAAGAGAGGTTCTTCGATGTCTTCAGGCCGAGGCCTTGCCTCAATTAACCCACAGTACATACTGGGAATCAGTACCTATATTCATTTTTTCAGGTCCTGCCTAAAGGGCAGAAAGTATAGCTCTTTTTTCTAATTCTTGGTTGCTCCCTTCATGTTCCTTAATCATTATTTTTCCTTCAGCTGTCCAAAAGTCATATTTTCCCATTCCCTGTTTGCTTCCTCCATCAACGTAATATGTGGGTCCTTCTACTGGCTTAGCTTGTAGACTGATCAAAGCTCTCCTGAGCATTATAGGAGCATGTATGCACTCTATTTGGGGTACCCAGTGTAGATAAGGTCTTCTTGGGTCATGATATCCAAATCTTCCTTCTTTATAGGAAGCCTATAAATAGGTTCTCTTCCTAGTCTTATAATACTTTCCTGTCTTACTTTGTGTAGGCACCGAATGGCTCTATTTAAAGGGGAAGCTGCTATTACTCTAGGAAACTCTATCCTTCCTATCCAGAGGATGTTGTTTCCCTGGAGAACTTTACAATTTAATGTATTCCCTGATATCATTACAGTACAATATACTTCCTCACTAGGTTCCCAATATGCTAATGCCTTATGTTCCTTTAGTAGCTTTCTAATGTTTTGAAGCTTTTGTCTTGCCTCTGGAGTCCACTCTCTCTTACTGTTTAAATCCTGATCACCTCTCATCATTAGGGTAAATGGTTTTGTTTTTATGCCGGGAATGGCTTGAGTTAGCCAATTAAGGAGACCTTCTAGTTTTTGTAATTCATTTAAGGAAGGTCTCTCTGGGAGTTCGAGGAGGTCTAATTTTTGTAATGACCATTTCTCTGGATGGAGTTGATATCCCATCCACAAATAAGGAGGTTCTTCCTGTAATTTTTCTGGTGAAGTCTCAAAGCCTTGTTCCAACAGTAGATTCCTTAGGTTACTGACACTCTGTTTTTGTTCCTGCAATGGTAAATCTGAACCAATATATAAATCATCCATATACTGATAAAGGTCTATTTCTGGATGTTGCTTTCTCCAAGGCTCCAGTATATCCCTTAAAGTGGTCTGATAAATTAAGGGACTTAATATAAATCCCTGTAGCAGGCAATTCCAGACATACCTATGTCCTGGTCCTTTGTTATTAATTTCTGGGATTGTAAAAGCAGTATACTGTCTAAATCTTGGATCTAAAGGGATAGTAAAGTATACATCTCCTATATCTAATACTGTAACCTGCCTTCTTTTCTGTAACCCCCGGGATGTGGAATACCCAATTGCACCGCTTTTCCTTTTTCAACTAACTTGTTAAGTTCCCGAAAGTCTATCAGCATACGCCATTTACCACATTTTTTTCTTGATAACAAAAACTGGGGTATTCCACGGATTGTCTGCAGCTGCAGGGGATATTTTCTTTTCCTTTAATAATGCATCTATTATCTCTTTTAATCCTATCAATTTTTCTTCAGTTAAAAGCCATTGGGGAGTAATAGGGCCTTTATTGGGATCTTTCATTTTTATTTTCACTGGTTCTATTTTAGTTGACAGTTGTGCCATTACCAGGGCTACTCCTAACTGGAGTAATAAATCCCTACGAAATATGTTGATTGGAATATTGGGGGAGACTAACAAAGATGTCCGTTTGATGTCATTTTGTGTTTCCAGTTTCAGTCCTGATATTTTCTGTAACCTAGTTCTTCCACTTACTCCGTCTACATATTGCCATCCCTCATTAATCCCCCTTGTATTCCTTCTAGATCTTGTTTTTCTTTGATAAATAAATCTGCTCCTGTATCTAATAATCCTTCAACCATTTTTCCCCCATCTTAATTTTTATCATTGGTCTTTTTTCCAAGTCTAGTCCTTTGGTAATTTTGGGTAAATTCCTATTTGCGAGGTTTCTGCTTGCATTTCCTTCATTGTCGGGGCAGAGGGTTGGATATGACCAAGTTTCTCCTCCAATAGCATTGTGGCCATCATCGTCCAGGGAGGCCTGAAGCCCCTCCTCCCCGTCCCCTGTTTTTTGGCTTTCTACAATTTTTTGCCATATGTCCAATTAGCCCACAGTTATAACATTTTAAAGGAGGTCTAGTGGCTTCCCTCCCGTGACATTGTTTAGCCATATGACCTCTTTTTCCACATTTATGGCAATTTCCTTTAAATGTATTAGAGCTTCCCTTTTCATTCCCCACCTCTAATGCTTCTGCCAGCATTGCCATCTTATAGTCTGTGGACCCAAACTCTTGACAAGCATAAATTTTATCGTCTAAGGAGTCTTCTGGTCTTAAATTTCTAAGCAGTTTCTTACATTCATCATTGGCATTTTGAATGCTCATGGTGCCCTTTAAGTACTCCCTTAAATCTTCTCTAGATACCTCTAAGTCAATTTGAGAATATAGCCTATCAGTAAAATCAGAATAAGTTTCTTTTGGTCCTTGCCTTATGCTAA